AAAAAAAAAAAAAATTAAACACAGCTGCCCTGAAGAACGTATCATGAGCTATTTAAAACTTTCGTAAAAATAAAAAAAAAAAAATGAAAATAAAAGTAAATAATTATGAAAACTTACAATTAAACAAAAAACAAAAAAAAAAAAATAAAAAAAAAAGAAAAAATGCAGTAAATAAATGTGATAAGATTCTTTAATAGAAAATGATTGTTTTCAATTTTGGGCAGGTGTAAAAAGAAAAAAAAAAAATATATGCTAAAAAAAAAAAAATTGGCTTAAAGGTCTCATTCATTTATAGACTCTGTAAATGATATTGTAAAAAAAAAAAAAAAAATTTGCAAGCCAAAGTCTGCGCTCTTTACATCCCCATACTCCCAGTGCTCCCGCACATCAAACCATTCATAATAGTCCCATTTGCGTTTTACCTTTGCGCTGGCCAGGTGCATACTTTAAAAACTTTTCCTTAACTGGCGGCAGCATCAGTTGTGAATTGTTCCCGGAAAAAAAAAAAAAAAACATATTTAACATTTACGGCTGGCAGGGCGGCCACCTTCGTCTGCCTAAAAAAAAAAAAAGTGCTAAGTAGATTTCTGTGTAAGTACTTATTTGTTTATGCCTTGGGTAAATAGAGTTTTGTTTCAGGCTCTTAACTACAAATGTTTAGTTCAATTTGCACCGGCAAGAGCTACGAAAAAAAAGGTATGAAGATGCTGCCTCTAATTTACTTTGACTGTTCAATATTGTGGGCTTACAGAATTACAGAATTTGTATGCAAATTGAAAGCAGAGATGCCAGAGATTGCTGGAATATAGAATGGCTAATAAATCTGAATATATTTTACTACGAATTGAGGCATAGCAAATAATATGGTTCAACTGTATTGGTGATATTATTAATATACCTCTTCTTTGTCTTTATTTACGCTGTGTGTTGTATTTGTTTTAATTTTATGTTTTTAAATATTAATTTTTTTTTTATTTTAGTTTTATTTATTTATTTTTCTTTTTTAATTTTAAATGAAACAATTTTCATTTTAATAAAATGTAGACCAATTGTCTTCGATAAATAAATTAATATAAATTATATTTATAAATAGATAAAAATTCGTGAATCACTTTTTGGTCTTATAGCTTAATTGTTACATTATTTTGTATGTATATAAAAATATACACATTTTTCATATTAATATTAATAATGTTATATTACTATCATCAATTCAAAAAATATAAATATTTCGCAAGACCACACTGCGTATACTTAACCTTCAGTCATAGTCTTAGACTCTTACCTTTTGTATTTCCCCTTACCTCATTTTCCATTTCATATGGTATGCCCCACAGGCATCTATTCGAAGAATGTACCAGAATGATTTCAATAGGCCACGCTGCGCATACTCAACCTTCAGCCGTAGTCTTATAGCCTTACATCATTTTCCAGTCAAACTTAATATACAAAAAAGCTTTTTATTCTCAGCTATAATTGGGTCCCCACAGTATAGTTCTATATGCAGCATAATAATATGTTATGCCCCATATTAACTTAATCAAACTTCGCTCGAACTGGCGACAATTAATCAATGCGCGATTCCGGGCAGCAAATAGAGACATTTAACTAGTATTTTGAAAAAATTCCATAGCTATATATTTGTATGTATGTATGTAAGTTTTCCAATTAGCTGTAGCTGGGCAAAGGCGATTGCCTGACCTCAGGTCATTTCGCGTTGTTAACCGCAAATATAGGCACGGAGAAAGGGAGGGGGGCAAAAGGGGAGCAGGCAGTTGCTGTGTGTATTTCATTTGGCATATTGATAAATGAAATGAAACTCACATGAGACGCCGAGAGAGTAAGTGAGAGGGAGAGTGAGGGAGAGTACACAAAAAACACGCTTCCCAGTGGAGTACCTGTCAATGGCAGGCACTGACACACACACACACACACACATATGTGCATGCAATTTAATTTGGCTGCCTCTTTGTTGCGGCTTTGTTTTGTGCCATTTTACGGTGGTTGTTTCAATTTATTATACAATACAACTGCAATTGGGATTGTTGTTTTTAATAGTTTCAAGCTCGAGCCCCAGCCGCGGGTCAATAACACACACACACACACTCACACACACATGCAGACATGGGTTGACATGTAAAACTGTGCATGCAGCTAATTGCTCTGCGACTGTGACTAGACTGAGCCACTCAAGGCGATCCCGGAAAGCCTGCGCCGCAGCCGAATAATTGCCATACCAAAGATATGCAATTTGAGTTGCGCTTTTATTAATTATTTAATCGATAAGCGGGGGTAAGAACTATATGCGCTCCTGGTAGTACTGCTTCGACTCGGTGGTGCCAACGTGCTGATCGCCGGTGCAGTAGAGCTCGGGAATGGTGGCGGAGTACTGGGGGTTGAAGAGCTTGCTCTTTATGTAGGCCATGGGATCGCTCGGCTCGGGCCAGAGCGTGGCGAGGCTATGGCGGTATGCGTAGGTGAACACGGCCTCGGCTATCTGGAGATTCACGCACTTGAACTTGCTCTGGGGCGGGTAGACGTTGCGCTTGGCCAGGTCGGTGGGCCAGACCAGCTTGGACAGACGCTCGGCGACTATCAGGAATATCTCCTCCGGCACCGTGGTCAAGCCCGTCAGCATGATGCCTAGCGTGAGGCCGGTGTGTATGTAGATATCGGTGCAGTAGCCCGGCTGATACCATTTGTTGGCGTACTTCAGGGGCGGCAAATCACAGCCCGATATGAAGATGCAGCGGCCCTTCGTGTAGACGAAGGCATCGTCGGCGGAGCACTCAGCCAGGGGCAGGGGCCGCGACATGGCGAATATGATGGGCGTCTGGCAGCTCTGCTCCATGGCCCTGAGTACCTCTTTGGTGAAGACCTGCGGCTCCGCACTGCAGCCGACCAGGACAGTCGGCTTGAGCTTCTCGATGGCCTCCAGCAGTGTGCCAATGGCCTCGAAATCGTGGGCAAACTCCAAGAGCTCGTCGGGCACCTTGGGCTCGCGACGCTCCTTCACGATCAGGCCATGGCTATCGCAGAACCAGATGCATTGGCTCGCCGCAGCGTCATCGAGTCCCTGGCGCTTCAGATACGCCACGCACATGCGGGCCAGGCCGATGTTGAACTTCTCCATGCCGTAGAAGAGGAACTGATTCGCCCGGAACTTGATTTCGGTGATCGTGAGGGCGGCCAGCAAGCCGGCCAGGCCGCAGGTGCCGAAGAGCTGCAGGCTGATGTCCATGTAGCAGCGACGCCTTTGGTACTTTTCCAGCATGCTCAGTGTTTCCTTGGGGCTGAAGTCCTTCGTCTGGATGACGGCGCGCGGACCGAAGACGCGCAGCACAGCCACGGTGAACTCCTCGAAGAAGTCATCGAAGGCGGCTCCGGTGGTGCGGGGCTGGCGCACTCCCAAGTAGAGCGGATCCTTCACCAGGCTGTCGTTATCCGTGCCCACGTCCATCATGATGGGCAGGCAGCAGTCGGGATTCATGCCGCCATAGACCACATTCTCGTACAGCTTGTAGAACACAACGGGCGCCCCACTCGACCCGAAGTCGCCCATGTTCATGACGCAGTGGCCATTGGTCACCATCAGGTAGCGCACGCAGTGGCGCAGCGGCCAGTTGCGCAGCACATCGTAGATGTGGCCCCGATCCTTGATGGTGACGTACATGCCGCGGTTGTTCGTGTACAGCATGCCGAAGTTCTTGATCATGTTGGGGCACTCGTTGGCCTTGTATATCGACATGTACGTGTCCGGGTCGCTGATCAGCACATTGTAGAAGAGCCGCCTGTTCCGCGCCTCCATGTCGGACAGGAACAGATACTTCTGGAAGGGCGTGGTGAATCTGGCGAAGCCCTGCTGGCACACCTTCACCTGCTGCTCCAGGCTGTAGATGGCGTACGGGAATAGGCCGTGGATGCTGAGCAGCTGCTGCTCGCGATGCGTGAAGGCCATCGTTTTGTTCAGCCAGTTGATTCTCATAATCTCATGGCCACTGGTCGCGTTGCGCGATGCCTCCTCACTCCAGCGCCAGAAGGTGTCGCGGTCCACGGGCACGCCATCATAGACAGCCAGCTGCGCCTTGGCATCCACGCACTTGTAGACCTGCTCCAACTTCTTTGCGCTCATTCCGGAATGGAAGTGGATATTGAAAGGGAAAAGTGTTGTGGATCAGCTGACTAACGAATGATATATATATATATATATACATATATTTGTTATGACAATCTAACGGACTGAGACATGACTCGATCGGGCTACTACTGCTGTGTCTTGGGTTTCAGTCTGACCAGGGTCTCTGTGTCTATGTGTCTATGTATGAGTGTTTGCTTGTAGTTTGATGCACTCTGGCCACATTTAATTTGTAGTCATTTGCATTTCGGGCGGGCTCCTGCACCCGGGCATTATGCAAATGTCTCTGGCGCACTTTGCGGCGACCTCAAACCGAAACCCAACCCGAACCCAGACCCCAGCCCAAGCCCAAAGCGACAGCGACACCTCAGCCTGTCGCTCTGGGTGCCGACATCAAGTTCTCTGAAATTTGATGCAGAGCATCAACGGCGCCAAGACACGCCCCAGCCCCCGCTAAAGGGATATTTAGCATAAAAGGTGTGCTGGGACGGGGCGTGCCGGCCGAGGGCGGACAACAGCCATTTGTGGCAAGCACAAGTGCACTTGAGCAGCGGCGGCAACATCGTTATATTTCGACCAAAAGATGCGAGTCCCGGCAACGGCAAAGGCAACGGCAACGGCAACGGAAACGGAATGCCGCGCATTTAAAAACAAGAGCCAAGCGGCTGGCCATAAGCGGCTTAATTCCAGTGGGAGTGGGGGGGGGAGCAACGTTGCTTCTTAAAATTCCACAGAGCTCTGGCCAACTGTTGTTCTCGCAGCATTCCAAATAAATTTGCATCAGACGGCAAAGAAAATGCCGCAACTAATTTGCAAGGAGTAAATGGGACTGAGCGCGTAGTCAAGGCAACGCATAGATTGAAACAGAGCGAGATAGAGAGAGAGAGAGAGAGAGAGAGAGAGAGAGAGGCACACAAACACTTTAGAGATTCAATTAAAAAGGCCAAATGCATCATAATGAAATCAGTTTTCAATCAAACGCTTTCGCTGCCAGCCAAAAGGCAGGCGAAACTGGCCAAAACCCAGACTGCCCCAACTATTCACGAGCGACGGCAACAAAGTGACCAAAGTGGCCAACAAATGTAACGGTAAATGTGAGTCAATGTGTGTGTGTGAGAGAGTGAGGGAGGGAGGTGGGCTTAGAGGCCGTTTTTTTGTGCGCTTTGTTTTGTGACCCGCTGGCAGAGCGCCGACACATTTGCACTTTTTGGACATTAAAGGCAACACCATTTACCGTTTTTTCTGTGCTCGCAGTTCTCTGCCGTTGCGGATGTGCTGCAAATTGAATTTCTGCCACGGGACATATTAAGCGATCGAACTCGGTAGAACTGGACGCCGCCTACGGCTTTGGCGTTTTAACATAAAAATTTATGCGCTAGGTGTGAGCAGAGAACTAAAAAGAGAGAGAGAGAGTGAGCGAGAGTGGGAGAGGGAGAGGGTGAGAAAGTGAGAGGGAGAGTGGGGCAGTCGATGTAAAAGGCCAAACTACAAGCTCAAACCTGATCGAGTGTGAGTGTGTTATACAGTATGCACACACACACACACACTCACACACATCTCTTTGAGCAGGAAGACAAAAAAGTAGAGTAAATGTTTATGCGACGTTTATGCTACAGCGCAATTTGAATATTTTATGGATGAAATTCGATTTCGGCCATGGCCGGCACGTGCACTAAAAACTTTTGCATATGGAAATTGATTTCCTTTGGTGTCATACCTTATGAATGCCCCTGTGTGTGTGCGTGTGTCCAGCCCAGTTGAGCCATTTGCTGGCTGACTATTTTGACAGTTGTCAAGAGCATAAAAACAAACGCAATTTGCACCTCTTTGGCAACAAAAAGGGGCGGCGGAACCAATTTTGGGGCATGATAAAACTAAGCAATTTATATGCCGCACGTGAGGCGTCCGAGCGCCAGCATTATTACGCATACGCCGGGTGCTACAAATTGAATAAAACCTGCAGAAATAGCATTTGATGGCATCTATGATTTAGTGGATCAGTTTAGCTAAAAGCCAGCTCCTCGCTTATTATGCGAATCAACAGCAAAAGCAGCTTGGCCAAACAAATTAATTTGCATATTATTTCGTTCATAGAGAGAGCTATAAGTTTTCTGTGCTAAGAATAGTATTTCTTCATTATTTAAGCCAATGTAATCGCAGTTGATTGTAAGCATCGTTATACATATATTTGATATTTTATATATTAAAGGGAAGAATCAGCTACTAGAGTCATCTTTATAACTTGTTTATGAAGTCATCTTCCATGAAGGAAACTTTTCCTATCTATACTTATAGCTAACTATATATTAAAAGCTATTTAATCGGCCTAGAATCAATAGCTATAAATGTATATAATTATACTCCACACATTTACTTCTATATGTTTCTATAAACTTCCTGATATATGTAAATAGTTCTCTACAGTGGCTCACAGCTTATTTCAACCAGCACCTCAACAAAAGTTTGTTGATCTATAAAATCTAAACTATTGGCGATATCGAAAAAATTTAAACGCAGGTTGTTAGTGTGATGCTTAAACTAATACAAAATTAATTAATTTATTTTTAAAATTGTTATTC